CTTGGAGAAGGCCTGCATTTGATCCAGGTGTCTGATCAAGATGAAGCTAATGGAGGAAGACACTCATCTGCTCCAGCTGCGATGTCAGGTCCAGATGTGGAGCAGAAGAGGACGTCTGTGTGGTCAATGATGAATTCCACCACTGCCGACTGCGTCTGCAGTTCTGTGCAGGCAGCTCTCCCACTGGCGCAGGCAGACTCGCTCTGCTGTGATCTGCAGAAAAGGCAGGTTTTAGAAGTCATTCAGCCAAGATCGCTTCCCCGGGTCTGAACTGTTGCAGCCCAAAGCTGTCAAACTGGGCTCCAGAGACTTCCGCAGTGGGCAATCAGTGATGCCACTGAAGAAGTTCTCCTGGCTGATCAAGGACACACCAGTCCCATCTAAACAAGAGAGCAGCAATGCTCATCTAGAAATTGTGCCCACGTGGGGTTGGAGAACAGTCCAGGCTCCTGCTCTGCTGTCAGCCACTCACTGCAGATTTTACAGGAGAAGAGCACATTCGGTGGAGAAAAAGGGAGGACTGCTTTATTTTACTGGAGAACAGATGTAAGCGTTGAAATGGAAAAAGAAGTTTACCTTAAGAGGTTTGGAGCCCACACAATGGCTAAGTTCTAAGCATGCATGTTGGTGACAGAACTGTTCGCAGCCAGACAGGCCAAGTGTCTCATCAGGTGCCCTGGAAAACAAGAGAGGCAAATGTTCACCATGCCATGCTGCCACTCACAAAGCAAACCTCAATTCACACTAGTTGTTATTACTGCTACTGATGCTGAAGATGAACTAGATCTAACTTGACCAAGTGCCACGCTGCAGCACCCAGCCCCAGCCCAGCACAGCCGCAGCCATCAGCTGCTCCCAGCGTGCCCCCATGCCCAAGAGCTGACCCCATCAATTAACCCCATGCAGTGTTTCAGCATACCCAGGCATCCCGTTGCTCACGTGAGACAAAGCCTGGAATTGCACCATTGCCCTCTGAAGTGCAGCAGGGCTGAGCTCTGCAGGCTGAGGGCAGCTGGTGCCACCAAGGCCAAGGAGTCCAGACACCGGGCCGCTTTATAGCCAGGTTGAGCAGCTCAGCTCCTCGAAGTGGGCGTTCATCTCCAAGTACGCTCGGCTATTCCCGCTGCAGAAATAGTTGGGGAATAGCAAAAAACAAACAAACAAACAACACACGCATTCTCACAAGCATCGTGAATATGGAAATAACCACCTCCCACCAGAAGTGGCATCGGTAGGATGCAGGATGTGGCAAAGACATGCGAGTAAACCCCATGGGGGTAACAGAAGAAGGGCCTCAGAGCTGGGGCACTGCTGCAGCCATCTCCCAAGAGGCTCCGGGAAGAGGTAAAGGAAAGGCGTTGCCTTGTGCTTACCGAGAACTTGTCGTACAGCTGGTCGGTCAGCAGGGGGTTTGGGAGCTCCCTGAAGTACATTTTTTCGTGGTAGTGTGCTTCTCCGTGGCTCCAGGTCTGCATTCTTTGACGACAAGAGTCAAAAGTATAAGCCTCTCTGAAGAGGAACCGGGAAATGCAAGCAGTGACAGATGCTGTGCTGTTTGGGAGCGCATTCGAAGAAGACTGTAGGGATCCTTCCTGAAGTGCGGACATACAAACCCCGTCGAGAGGATCGCGGCAGGCAGAATTTGCACGTTCTTGGCATCGGAATGGCACTACTTCGCTCTCCCGGTTCGAAAGTGGCAACAGCGAGAACCGCTGCAGAGCGTTTGCACTCGCCTCCGAGAATTCGCTATTCTCCCCAAATGCCACTTGCAGCCTCCAGCAGCAGCCTCGGGCTTCTCGGTTGCCGGGAAAGGGCGACTGCAGTCGGCTGCTTTTCTCCGAGTTGCATGCTCTTCTGCACACGTAGAAACGCAGATGTTCGGACTTCGCCTCGTGTAAAAATACGAAGATTGCACTACGCCTGGCTCTGCGTCACCATATGCCTCATCTCTTATGCCTTCAAGGTGGCACAGTGGAAAAGGTTATGTTTTTTTAATGGGGGAGCATTAGCACAGCTCTGCTGGGCTTAATGGGGGAACACTGGAACAACCCTGCATGCTTTAATGGTGGCACATTAGCACAGCTCTCTGGGTTGAATGGTGAGACTTTGGCACAGCTCTGCTGGGTTTAATCCGGCACAGCTTTGTTGTTCTTAATGGTAACACAACTGACAGCTCTGCTCTGTTCCATAGTGACACCTTGCACAGCTCTGATGGGTTGAATGGTGAAACACTGCAAACATATGCTGGGTTTCATGGAGACACACTGGCCCATCTCTTCTGGGTTTCCTGGGTTTCCTGGTCTCCAGTCACGGAGAACCACACTGCAACGAATTGTCGCTGGATCGAAAGGCATGGACACAACCTTCAGAGCCAGGCATAGTGTCACCAGCAGAGCTGTGCCAGTGTGGCCCCATTTTACCCTGCAGAACTGGGGCAACATGTCACTAAGAAACCCTGCAGCAGAGCTGTGCAATGTGCCTCCATTAATGCCGGCGGTGCTTTGCCAATATGTGTTGCTTTTCACGCCCGTACCGAATTTCCCGGGAGACCGCAGCTTGGCCAATTACTGAGGCGACACCAATATGATGAGCAGCAAATGGCGTTTATTACCCGTATACACTACCTTATATAGCCTAATTACTTCGTCTACGCCCCCAAGGGGGCACATCACACATCAATCATTAGAGCAGGGAGGGAGCTTAACACATCAGACCCCGCGGGGGGGTCTCGCAGTTTCGCAGTTGCTGACAACATCTCCCCCTCTCCATGCTCAAGAAAGCATACTACAACTCGAGAGGACCCTAACCGCGTACACCCCGAAATCCCCGCATTGCGCCTATACATGCCATTGTCCTCTCGGTTAAGCCTTGCCCCGTTACAACCCGATTCGCAAAATATCCTATCCTAATAACCCTATAACTTATATAACACTATATAACTTATAACCCTATATAACCTTATAACTTATAACCTTATAACTTTATAATTTAATGACCTATATACTTATAACTTTATAACTTATATACTTATAACCTTATAACCTTATAACTTTATAACTTATATACTTATAACCTTATAACTTAATGACAACCTATTATCTTAACAATCCTAAAATCTTAATATCTTATATAAGTTCTACCTTAACGTTATAACCGTCTATCAGCCTTAAAATAAGTCTTACAAAAAACGACGCAGTGTATCCCTATTTAATGCTAAATCAAGCTGGGACACTTGCTTTAGCAAGCGCCATGTCTTTATATATAATATAACTATAAGAACCAAGCATAATACTATTAAACCTAATATAACAACTACCGGATGTAGTACAGAGTTAAATATTCCCGTAGCTGTGGGAGACCAACCGAAAAGAACCTCCCACCAGTGATGTTCTCCAGTTTTCATTACTCTTTCCAAGACGCGATGTATCTTTTTCACGTCATGATGAACAGTAATCAAGGTCTTTTGTCCGTTGTCTTTGATGCGTTCTAATAGTCGATGCAGATCGTCATGTTGTAGAAGCTCCTTTACCAAAGCGAGATTCATTCCAATCAGCGCTGGACGCAAATCTTTGATCAGAGTGTAATTGAACTGCAAAAGCTGATATGAAGTAACAGGAACTGTATAGTTAAAATCACATCCTAAAATATTGATAAAATTGCAAACACAAAGATTTGAGTGATTGGCAGTATTAACAATCATATTCCCTATTTGTATGGAGTCACAATGAGTTCTGATGCAAGCACATCCTTTTCCAATATATACAAGCATTGATTCGAACATCCTACCAGGTTGGACCTCAAAGTGGCAGATATTTTGTTCAGTGTCAAAACAGATATCTTGGGTCTCAAATGTATTACTTTCACAAATAAATCCTTGTTGTTCTCGCATGGCACATGAACTAACGTCCACAGTTTGCCATTTCTCATTCTTTTGAAGAGCCCACATCCGATGTTCAATTGGATACAGAGTAGTCTCACCATGATTTAATCCTAGGGCTACGATTGGATATATCGTGTATACTGAAGCATTACTTATCATCAAAACAAAAGCCACGGCATAATTGGTGACAGGATCATAAGTGAAGTTAACTAAATGCCACCATGATTGAAATTTTCTTTCAAACCTATTTGCATTGTCCCAAATTACTTTTCTAATTTCAGTGGGTATAGTGCCATCCTCACCTTCTCTCACGATTGTCGCTGCTATAAATTGCATCCACATCTGGGCCTGAATGCAACTGAGGGCTAAAGAAGTATTACCTTGGACTGCTGAAAGCGCATCCATAATCAACAGATGATCTTTCCTATTTATCTTTTCCCATTGCGGTAACACATCTGATAAAAGCCATTGGCTTGTTCCTAAACCTGATAGGGACGACTGTAGAGGATGTTGCAATTCACGTATATTACTTGTAATGGCATTCAATTTACTCATGAGTATTTCAGTGTCTATACTGTTTAAGACTCCTAAACCTGTTCCCAGAATACCAGAAACATCTCTTTTTGCTCTTCTAGATGTATCAAGTGCCTGTCGATGAAGCCATGCTGACCATCCGGCATATGACATGCCTAAAAATAATGCACAATCTGGTTTAATAGTTGACACATTAGTCTGTAATAATAGCATCACTCGTTTAAGGGACCACGTTGGATTAAAGATCACCTGACGCTGACCTGTGTTCTTTATGGCGTACGGCCCGATTTGATAAATTTGTGGGAAGATAACACTCTCCAGTCTCCTAGTGGGAGTTATATATGGGACATCAGTTGTTTGTTGATTAAGGAGATCCACCTTGAATTTAAAAGATCGTCCTAAGGTGCCTTGTGTCCAAAGGCATGTTATCATTACAGGTTGGGTCAGGATGAAATTATACTGGCAATCTCCCTGTTCAATAACACAGGATTTACGATCCCTTACGCCTGATATAACATCTGTTTTCGAAATTTGAGTGGCCTTCTTATAGTGAGATCCATTTACCATCCAACACTTTACTTCTACATTCTGCCCTGGTTTTCCCCAAATTCGTGGAGATCTGGTAGCATTCTCCCATCCCCATTCACTTTTGTCATACGGTCTGTTTTCCCGTAACACCACGGTCAGCAAAGTCAAATTATTTACTGGTCCCATCATTCCTGTATATTCCTTACGACCATACCGTAAATCACTGATAGTTATACCCTCTCCAGGAGAAATAGCTGTAAACAACAAAAACACACAGATAACAACACAAGAGAGATTGATCTCGTCGTTATCAGTGGCTCCTTGTCTGTTTCCTTTCCCGAGGCGGGCTTCGGTCGTGGCTTCGGTCGAGGGTTCGGTGTTTTTTCTTGACGAGTTCCAAACAGCAATGCCTGAAAACAAAGCACTCAGTTCTTGATTATTTCTCTGCTTTTCCATCATGTCCCACTTACATCAGGTTTAACTTTCCTGGATGGGACCCACAAAATTTTTCCGGAATTCTTATTTTTTACTGCAGCATATCCTCTTCCCCATACCAAAATAGACCAGCCCGATTCCCAAATACCACTATCTACCTTGATCTTAACCGGTGGCCCTTCCTCAATGATTCTTGGCTGCCAATGCTTTTGTATCGGGGTTCTTGTGTTTTCCCCACGCTCAAAATGATTATGCATATAATGCTCGTGCCAAAATCTCTCCTTGTTCTGATACCGGAATTCTTCCTGTATGTCCTCCGCCCTCCCCCAGGACGCGAATTTTTTCTCTGAGGAGACGGTTAGCCCTTTCAACAATAGCTTGACCTTGTGAGTTGCCTGAAATTCCTGTAGTATGTGTGATATTCCAACGGGCTAACCATTCTTTAGACGAACGTGAAGTAAAACAAGAACCATTATCTGTTTTTATATGGCGTGGCATTCCCAAAATTGCTATGGCTGTGGCCCAATGATGTTGTGCTGCCGTAGAACTGGTACGGCTGTGCTGTGTAGCAATAATGACTGTAGAGGACGTATCAACTGTCACTGCGAGCCATTGTCTTGGTGCCATTCGCGGTTCCATCATGAAATCTGTCTGCCAAATATCCAATGGGGTGAGACCACGGGGATTAACCCCTGCCCCTAACGCCGGCGCAGAATTACAATATGGACACATCTGCACAATTTCCCTAGCAACTGTGATAGGGATAGAACACGTTCGAGCTAACGCTTTTGCCCCTATGTGTAATGTGGAATGAAGATCACGAGCCTCTTGTAGGGTATATACCTGCTTCCTAGCCATTTGATCAGCTATTTCATTTCCTTTTGTAAAAAATCCTGGAACTTCAGAATGGCTACGGACGTGAAGAATAGCAACTGGCTCTGACCTGACCACTAAGGCATCTTCCAATAGGGCTGCAGTTACTGTATTGGGCTGTCCCTCTTTGCCCATACGCAGTAACATTTTAGCTACGAATGCAGAATCAGTAACGATGTTACAAGGTGTCTGAGGCCAAAGGCGTAACGCAACTGCCACAGCTCTGGCCTCAAGCATTTGAACACTTGCTGAACAATCTATTATCACCTTAGACTCCCATTTGCCATCCTGAGCTTGCCAGACAGCTACTCCTTGTCTGGTAGCTGAAGAAGCATCAGTAAAAATTGTTGGGCCGTCCACAGGGGTATCCAGTACTCTATACTGCAGTGATATCTGGAGAGGCCTTGCTAGATCAAAGATAGGCAGTGAGTCTGTGTAGCTAAGATTACCACTGAAATCATGGAGAACAAGGAAAACCTCCTCTGGCAAAGGTTGAGCGTTCCGAAAGGTTCCTGGTAGGTATATAATATCAAGGTCCTTTCCAAAGGCCCTTATTGCAGTAAGACGTGTTTTACGTAACAATAACGAGAGTTGCTCTAACCACGAGGTAAATGCTTTTGTCGGCTGAACAGAAAACAACCAGCACAATGGGCGAGGACGAGAGCTAAGGGCATGCCCTATTACAGCTGCTGATCCCTCCTGGCATCTAGTCACTGCGCCTTCTAGTGGCTGATCTGAATTCCACCTTGCAAGCGCGTTGGAGGAACAGGCTACTAGTATTTCTTGCCAAGCAGACTCCATCTCTGGTGTCCACCGTCTCTTTTCCTGAGGATTAGATCCCTTTAGCTGATCATAAAAGGGTTTCATAAGCCGTGGAGGTATGCCTAATGCATTTCGCACCCATTGCATGGCCCCCACAAGCTTCTGAACATCCCACAGGGTTGTAATATGGGGTTTAACTTTTAATCCTTCTGGGATCACCGTTTCAGATCCAAACCTGTATCCCAGGAACTCAATTCCTGGTTCTCTCTGAATTTTTTCTTGTGAAATAACAAATCCAGCAGTAGTAAGCACATTAACTATCTGCTCCTCTAACACTTGCAGCTGGGAATCACTTGGTGCTGCAAGCAACAGGTCGTCCATATAATGAGCAAGCTGACAGTTCGATAGTGACTGTCTTACTGGTTCTATAATTTTGCCTACTACCAATTGACAAATTATTGGAGAGCAAGTCATTCCTTGTGGAAGAACCTTCCACTGAAATCTTTGAGCAGGTCCCTGATTGTTCAGGACCGGGACAGTGAATGCAAAAGCCTCTCTGTCCTGCTCTGCTAGCGGAATAGAAAAGAAGCAGTCCTTAAGGTCAATGACCATCAGGGGCCATCCTTCCGGTATAGCCGAAAGTAGAGGTCCCCCTTGCTGAACCGGACCAAAAGGGATAAGTTGTGCATTGACTGCTCGGAGATCGTGTAACAGTCGGAAAGATCCCGATGCTTTTCGAATTACAAAAACAGGCGTATTCCAACTACTGAGTGACGGTTCTATATGTCCTGCATTAAGTTCTCGTGAAACAATCTGTACAAGCGCTGCTAATTTATCAACAGAAAGGGGCCACTGATCCACCCAAACGGGAAATATATCCCGTTTCCAACGCAACGGAATCGCATATTGCAGCGCTAAATGATGGACAGTGGCCCTTTTCATAAATTTGTCAGTTTTACTCCCATCTCAAAAAGAAAGTCCCTGCCAAGTATGGATCCTCCTATTGGTGCTAAAGTAGGAAGGATGATTACATTTTTTTCCATGGTACCATCATCATTGATGATCGCAAGCTCTACCACTCTGTCTGCCTTTCTGGTGGGCACATCGCCCCCCACACCCGCAATTGTTCTCCACATAAAAGTCGCGGGCCACTGCCGAGGCCAGTCATCTTCTGAGATGACAGTAATATCTGCACCAGAATCAAGTAAGGCTACAAAAATTACCGCTTTGGGCACCGATGATGGAAGATCTGGATCCATATATGACATCCTAACCGTAACGATTGGTCGTTCTTCTAAATCCATAGTTAATGCCACTGCGGACGTTGTGCTTTTGGCCCACCTAGGGATGACGGGAAGGAGTCCTGGGCCATTGGCTCCCTCCCTCTCCCGTTTCCCTGCAGCGAGATTCTAAATTTTTTACACTGACGTGCGACATGTCCGGCTCCGCCACATAATTGGCACCGTTTGTCTGATCCTTGCCCCATCTTCTTAGGGCACTGTGCTTTGAAATGGCCACGCTGCCCACACCTAAAACACGGGCCTTTATTCTTTCCTTCCTTGACCCGATTGGCGTCTATCATTTCCTGCATGGCGGCTGCTAATCCCTCATTAGTTAATGGTGCAACTTTCTGATGATCTAACACATATTTAATAAGCTCCCCTGGGGTAGTTAGGTTACCCGGTGCTGCTCTGATGATTTGCTGGATGTCTGGCAACGATTTCTGTTTAAGACATTCTATTATGACTGCGGATTGGACCTCCCTTGGGAGATCAGATCCCTCCACTGCGCGAATTAGGCGATTCGCAAAATCAGAAAATGACTCAGAGTGGCTCTGCTTTATGTCTGCCCACGGATGCACAGGTTCCGCAACCTTAGCCACTTCTCGCAGGGCTTGGAGGGCTGCCGTTGTAACAGCTGCCAGCTCTCCTGGTCTGAGCATTGCTGCTTGGCCCTCCGGGGATCCCACCATTCCATCTGCCAGGCCCTGAAGACGTGCAAGATTAGTTCTCTCGCCTCTGCGCTGGCCGTTGGCTGGATGGTGGGGGTCCCGGTTGGCAGCAGCCACCACAGCTTGAAGTAGTCTATTCCATTCATCATTCCACAGGGTGTATTGTACGGGCTCAAGAATAACATGCATAAGGTTCACCGCATCATATGGCAAAAGACTAGAAGCCATAAGAGCTTCCACTGCTGCCATAGTAACAGGGGAACGCAGGCCTTTGCTCTTAACTAAATCCGAAAGACGAGTAACCGCTTTGGACTCCAGAGGAACCCAAGCTGGACCCTCTGGTCTTATCACCACCGGCAAAGTGAGAGCGACACCTGTTGGATCTGCGGCCTGTATATCCTCCCTCACTCGAGCCCAATCAGTGAGGGTAGGCAGGCCCCATGAAGCTGTCGATATGGGACCACGCCCCTCCTGGGTGGACTCCAGGGCCATCCCCGTCGGAACGCTCCCCCCACAGCAAGGCCGGGGACAATCCACGCCCCTCGGGGGGTGGCCACCGTAGCAGGCAGAATCGGGCAGTAGGTGAGTCCCGCCCCCACTGTCGCATTCCACAGGTTGTATCCCAGCCCCTCCAGACATCTCTCCCTTCTCAAGGACCCTCTTATCAGCTGTACTAGAAGTTATAGCACTTTCCTCCACCGACCCCCCTTCCCCGTTATCTTTACAGGGCTTAAGCGAAGGATATATGCTGCGAGCCGGGTACGGAGGCGGGTCCTCCTTTTTATGGTATGATTGCTCCTGCTTCACTTCGTTCTTCTTTATCTCCAGGGTCGTTGTTTCTGGTAGGGCCGAAGGAGTCAGCGCCATCTTGCCCTCTGGCGAATCTGTAGGGGAGACAAGACCCCCCCCTGGCCCGAGCCCCAGCAGCTCCCTAGCACGGTCACCTGCAATCTTCTCCTCTTTTGCTTTCTTAAGAGCTGTTAAAATCAATCCCCACACCTTAATCTCTGCTGCTTTCTGATTAAACATTGCCCTCTGTGAGAGCGCAGCAGTAAACGAATCCCAATTATTAGGATCATATAAATCAGAAGGGGATGATAGTAATCCCTCCTTCTCCAGCAACAAAAGTGTCGCTGATATCTCCTTCTTAGAAGGAACATTTTTGCCGCAATAATTTTTGCATGCATGGAAAATCACCTTTATGACGGCTTCCATAACGCCTCCGGCCGAACATGCACCTGGCCTCTTCTGGCGTTTCCCCCCTAGCGTCCTAGGGGAATCTTGGCTCCTTTTCCTGAGCCTCCCGCCTGACGAGGAGTAATGCGCACTCCTCCCCGTCCCCGGGTTACCACTACTCCGCGGATTTGAATTTACCGCTACCGCAGTGGGATCCTGCTTCCGGCAGGCAGCTGACTCACTCCCAGGAATCACGTCGATCGGGGTCACCACTTGTTGCTTTTCACGCCCGTACCGAATTTCCCGGGAGACCGCAGCTTGGCCAATTACTGAGGCGACACCAATATGATGAGCAGCAAATGGCGTTTATTACCCGTATACACTACCTTATATAGCCTAATTACTTCGTCTACGCCCCCAAGGGGGCACATCACACATCAATCATTAGAGCAGGGAGGGAGCTTAACACATCAGACCCCGCGGGGGGGTCTCGCAGTTTCGCAGTTGCTGACAACACCAATATGTCACCACTAACCCAGCAGAGTTGTGCCAATGTGTCACTAATATACCGAGCAGAGCTGTGCAATGTGCCACCATCAAAGCCAGCACAGCTGTGCCAGTGTTGCCCCCGTTAAAAGTAGCAGAGCTGTGCCAATGTGCCACCATTAAACCAAGCAGAGCTGTGCCATGTGCCGCCATTAAGCCCAGCAGAGCTGAGCCAAAGTGACACCAATAAGCCCAGCAGAGCTGTGCCAGTGTGCCACCATCAAGCCCAGCAGAGGTCAGCCAATGTGCAACCACCAAGCCTAACAGAGCTGTGCCAATGTGTCACCATTAAAGCCAGCAGAGCTGTGCCAATGTGTCACCATCAAACCCAGCAGAGCTGTGCCAATGTGTCGCCATTAAAGCCAGCAGAGCTGTGCTATGTGCCACCAACAAACCCAGCAGAGCTGTGCCAATGTGCCACCATTAAACCCAGCAGAGCTGTGCCCATGTGTCACCATTAAGCCCAGCAGAGCTTTGCCAATGTGTTACAATTAACTAGTCAAGTGAGACAGACCATGACTACAATGCTGACCTGTAACCAGGCACAATGCAGCTAGAGCTCCTTCTGCAGTCAGTGGAGCAGCTTCCCCACCTCCAGATCTACAGGCAACATGCACACAAAGCACAGCAAGTCTGTCCATACTCCACACTCACAGAGAACAAGTTAACAAGTTGAACATTTACATTAATTTTGCTAAGTCACTATTCAATGCAATGAATAAGCTATTTGGAGAAAATAAATAAAAAGAGAGAAATCCCCACGATCTTCTACTTCTCACAAGCCAGGAAATGCAGCAGGCATCCCTCCATCCTCACCACCACAAAGTGTCAGCAGTCCCAGCAGTGCCTGTCTCCAGTCCTGCGCTTTTCGAGTTCCTCTCCTGCCTCTGATGTAGCCCTGACCAGGCCCTGTTCTGCCCCCATTCCGTTCAGCCCATTTCTGTTCTTGTCTTGTCCCTGATCCTCCACCTCACCTTGCCTGTGTTCCTGTCCCTACCCTGACCCTACCACTACCTCCACACCTACTCTCACCCTTTTCTTTATCCTCCTATCACTGCCCGTCCCTCTCTTTTCCCTCTCCTGCCCCTGTCCCTATCACTCGTCCTGCCCCTATCCCTACACGTTTCCCTATCCCACCCCTCTCCCTCTCCTGTTTCCTTCCCTTCCCTATCCCTGTGCTGTCCCTGCTCCAGGCTGCCAACAGAATCCCCTGGCAGCCCACCACCAAGTTGAAGGGAAACTGTAAACCAGGAGAACAGAAGTGTGATGAATGAGAGGGGAGGACAGAGAGGGCAGAAGAGAAGAAAGAACACAGGTAAGAGGAGCAGAGCTAATGGGGCAGGGGAAAACAGGAGATGGCAGGAGAGAATGGACAAGAGGGAAGAGCAGAAAGGCAGTGAAAAAAGGATTCCTTGAAAATAAGTGTTTACAGCTTTATTACAAGACAGGATGCCTCACAATAAGACGGATGGTTTTCCAATTCCTGAATTACAGAGGATACATAAACAGAGGGGTTAAGAAACCTAGCAAGAAAGTGTCACATTCTAAAGCAAAAGACACAGGAACAATTCCAGCTACTGCACTCCCTTGAGAGGCTCGGTGGGACTCTCATCTGCTCACAGGGCCCAACGCGGGAGGATCAGCTGCTCTGGGGGAGAAGAATTGGGAACCATGTTCCAGTTTGTATCCTTGGAAGGAGGCTAGGGAAGCAGCTCCACATAAAGACAAGAATGAAATGATGGCCAAGCTCCAATGCAACGGGTGCAGGACCAACAACCCCTCGTGCAGCTCCAAATATTTTGGAAAAACGGGTCCTCGCAAACTGTAAGAGCCTTAAATGACCCCGGAGCGGAGGCCTCCTTAACATATGGGAACCCCAAGAAACGTGAAGGACAACTGGTAGTTATTATAGGGTTGGGAGGGAAACAAACTGAAGCTGTACAAACACAAATAGAAATGAGAATAGGAAACCTCCCACAACGGCTGCATCCTGTGATGACTGCCCCCGCCCCAGAATACATCGCAGGGATGGGCATTCTAAAATGACTAACACTGAATCTCCCCAGTGCTCAGCCCCAGTTTGGAATAAGGAATTGCATTCACGCTCCAACAATTTCAGTGGGAAAAGTAACAATGCCTGCTGCAACTGAAGTAGTGACAGTGAAACAGTACAGGACCTGGGGGGGGGAGGGAGCATGAAGAGATATCAAGGACAATTAATGATTTATTGGGTGCCGGAGTTTTGAAGTCAACTACTGCAGCTCGGAACAATCCAATATGGCCTGTCAAAAAGCGGTGGGTTGTGGGAGGAATTAAACAAGCTCACCCCGCCTCTCACAGCGGCTGCAGCAGGTAGTGTTGCTTTAACAGAAAAAGCTCAGAACCATTCCAGAGCAGAGCATGCTGCAATTGATTTAGCTAATGCTAGCTTCTTCACGATCCCGATTGCAGAGGAACGCCTTCCCGTGGCAGAGGTGACAAGATCCTGCCTGCAGATGGCCTCGGGGACGGCTGCGCAGCCCAACCATCTGCCACAGAACTGTGGCTGAACATCTGCATGACACCAAACTGCCTCCTCACGTGCAAACAGTTCATTACGTAGATGACGTCCTGACTCAGGGAAACCGAGGAAGAGGTGCAACAAATGCTGGAATTGGTTGTGGATCAGATGAAACAGAAAGGCTGGGAAATTCATCCTACTGAAATTCAAACAATGACATTTTTAGGAATTCAGAGGCATTTTGGGCATTGGGGAATACTACCCAAAACTCAACACAACATTTTAGACTTGGCAGTACCCTGTAATAAGAACGAGGCACAGCAGTGTATTGGGCTGTTTGGTTTTATGGAGACAGCACGTTCCATACCTAGGACAAATTTTAACCCCGTTTATATACAAAGTGACAAGGAAGAGTTGGAGGGGGAAACGAAATGCAGGTTGCCTTTGAATTAGCAACAAAGGCTCTTCAAAGGGCCTCAGACTTACGGCCCATGCAAAAAGCAGAAACAGAGTTAAACGTGTCTGCAAATGGGGCACGTGCCAACTGGAGCTTCTGGCAAAAACAGGGAAAGGAAAAGGTTCCCTTGGGTTTTGGAGGCAGAAAACTCATGTCACGAGAGGTGTAATGGATGCAGATTATCAAGGATGAATCAAATTCCGTTCAACAGCAGTGAACAAGATTTAATTAAACCCAAGATTTAACTCAACCCCATGACAGAACAGCACAGTTCTTGACACCGCCAGTTTTAAAAACGGTTGTGAGAAAAGGAGATCCACCTCAGATCACCACCACTCTGGAGAACTATGTACGTAGTGTATCATTTTATTTTGCAGATCCTGCACGACTGGATTTACCCGCCTACCAGCATGGTCCATTTGGAAAAAGACACCATCCGTGTGCCTGGATGTGAAGAACGGCCTCACCTGACATTATCCCCAATGCCTGCTGTCAGAGCTTGTGACCTGAGTGCAGTGATGGCATTGCTAACGGCACGCTGCCACTGTGACCAAGGCACAGGTTGGATGAACAGATTGATAACTTTAGGACAAGGTTGAACAACTTTGCTCTTTCTTGCTAACTGCCACGTGTGTGGAGGCCCAGGAGGATGGGAACACTGGATGTGGATGGCCTGTGCAACCCAAATGGTGGGATAGCAAAACGAGTGCAGCCCATGAGGGAACAGAGCTCTGGGCCAGGACAGCAATCCCTGCCAGATGCAGCAATACAGAGAAATGATCAGAGAAACGGGGAAAAACAGAAACTGAAACACGTCCAGATTACTTCACATGTCCCACACCTGTGGTGACTCAAAGACCACACCTGCCACGTCTTCCACAGCGAGGTGTGTCCATACCAAAATTAAGTCTTGACACGAGATTTCTGACTTACGAATACTGAAGCCATCTTCATCGTTTGAAGGAAAGGGCTGAGCTGTTGGAGGCTCTGCTCAGCTACATTTCTGCCCGTCTCAAGTGCAGTTCAAGTGTAGATTTCATACACAGCAAGGTGTGAAGAAAATCTCCCCCTTCAGTCCTAGAGTTAAAGAAAGTTCAAGCAGTAAATATCAGGCTACAACAAAGCCCAAGCTTCTGAGTTCAAGGACATCCTCTGAAGCCTGATTTAAGGCAGTAAAATTCACCTTCTTGCCTCAGGTTAATATCTCCAAGCTATTTTCAAAGATCTTTTCATTTCCTCCCAATACATTTGCATACAGCTAGTAGGACAAACAGAGCTAATAAAGAGAGCCAAACACATACAGTGAAGGCATGAAAGCCCAGCAGTTGCAGCAGTGGGGGAAACACGCGCCTGAGATCAGAGACTGCAGGGAATGCTCCTTTGTGGGTGGGATTTAAGTCACACCAGGCACAATGCTCTGCTTTTGAGAAAGGCTGCTTTAACAGCACGCCGTCTGGGAAAGCACACTCTAACCAGGTTTGTGAAGAGCCTCCCAAATCCTCACAGTCTTACTGCTCTGGGAAGCACGAGGTTCTCTTCTCAAAAACATTTCTTACCAGTGCATCCAGCGAGCACGCACATCCGATGTTGTGACAGAGAACATGGGCAGAGACCAGCAGGTTGGAAGGTTGTCACCTTCGGGCCGGATCAATACTACAGATATCCGGCAAGCCCTTCTGTAGCAGAAACACGATTGCTAAAGCTGAGTAACGTCCAGTGGGTGAGTATGAGTAAGGCGAGGCTCAGCACAGTGCTGAGGGATCCGATACTGACATGCCATTGCAATTCAGTGCACAGGATGGAAAGGCAGTAAGGTGGGCCCGAAGATGGAAAAGGCCAGCCGTGTGCTGCACTGTCACGCTGGAACCACATCAATCACTACTCTCAAAGCGTGTATCTGCTAAAAGGCTGCAGTGTTTGAGACCTCCAAAACAATCTGCATCACCAGACTAATCAGCACTTTATGCATGCACACCAAAGACCCCAAAGGTCCTCTCAGAAGAGACGAGTAAAACATCCTTACAATACTTCCACATGCAGGATTCTACTTCTGACTTTGTAATTCCGTATTATAAAACAAAAGAAGGCTTCTTTCTTGCAATACCAGTTATTAACAGCACTTTTACAATCGAGTATGAGAACTAATCCACTCACCTCTACAGGATGGAGTTGCTCAAGAACATCAGAGTTTGCAGATTTGGAATGCCACACCTGAGGAGTTTTCAGGAAATACTGCAATGAAACACAACATTAAATAAAAATTAACCCAACACAGCCACGTAATCTAAACTGACCTTGAAAGCTGCCAGTGTCTAACTACTGTTATCCTGAAGTTGTGGATCTCATTAGAAGCCACCAATTTACTCAGCCAGCCATTATAAGCCTTAATTTTTCATAATTGCACACTGGCTGATCCAAAAGTAATGCCTCCTGTCTTATAAAGCCGGCCCACAACATCACAGGTGGATGCTGGTGGGATGACAGCAGAGGTTGAACCTTCCTGCCAGCATTCAGTTACATTTTGCAGCCATGCGGCAGACAGCAGCAGAGGGCCAGAATGACAGCACAGCACCTGACATGGAAGTGCTCATGGAGCACAGGGTGTCCCTGAACTCCTCCACACTGAAAACATCGCACCACTGACATCCATCAATGCCTGCAGAATATTTATGAAGCCCAACACGTGGAGGTGAGCACAGTGAAGCAGTGGTGGTGCATTTCAGCAGTGGCAGCAGCAATGCAAGATGAGCCACCCAGACAGCAAATGGATTTATTTTAATTATTGTTACTCCTTTTTAAACAAGCACAGCACACAGGCTCTTGCTCAACACTGGAGAGAAAAAAAAAAAAAAAAAAAGAAAAAGGATAGTTAATGGTGGTGACCATGTTGAGAAACAGCTTTGTAGCTGAGAACTCGCCCTATGTATCCATTGTCATTTCCGTGGAAATAAATAGGAGGCATTCCTTTCAGAGCAATCTACGTACCTCAGTGAGCCACCATCCTAATACTGCAGTAATACTAATAATAGGAACAGAAAAACACAGACTCTCAGAATATCTTTTGTGGGGATGGAACAACAAAACCAACACTGCAGTCAGCTGCAGTTATTCCCTGGGAAGGAACTGATGCCAGCAGAAAGGTCACGACCACTTCCAACACTCAAACCACAGCAGCATGTCAGAGCACGCAGCCTTGGAATAAACCCCAAGGATAAACCAAACTGCGTCTCTGTTCCAGCCAGTTTTTCTTCAATATACACACACAGACTGGGAGGCACTAACCCTACAAATTCGTTGTACCACTGTGTTGTATGGTAAGAAGAAAAGCAGGATGTTTGAGACTTTGTCAGGCACAGCACCTGCAGCACTGGAGGCGAGCAGTTCTGAATTCTGGTATCTGGTCGTAATTTGCGTGCATGCACAAGAAGCAGTGCAACTCACTTCACCAAGCGTAATTCAATGCAACCAAATGTACTGAAGGTGTACTTACAAGACTCTGAGGTAGAAAGCTGCTCGCTGAGGGGAAGGTTGGAAATGAGGCAGGGGAGGCCTGACAGATTGAGTGATTGTCTGCAAAAGGAAAGGAGCAGAAGAACTGTTCAGATGACATGAAGCCATTTTCTTGAACGCTGTTATACATGCAGTAACGAACAAAGAATGAAAATCAAGGCATTTCCCTTCGCCATCACCATATGTGCCACCTCTCCGCAGAGCTGCGGCACAGGCAGCACAAGACTGCTGGCACAGTAATTGCCAAGCCACGTTTTCAGAAGCCAGCATGACAAAGTACTTCCCTTTTGCCATGCACAAAGAAATGCTGGCTTACACAGACGAGAGTCTCAAGTGGGATAAGAATACAAAGGTTCTTCACTCTATTTTCTCAAATTGAAAGGAATCAAATGTCCACTTAAGGATAAAACAAAGCAATAAAACAAACACCCATGGAAAGCACACTAACCTTTGCAGGCCCTTCAGATCAAAGTGCTCCAATAGCAGTAGCTATAGAAGCTGTTATGCTCTACAGTTCCTCTGGTAGCTTTGTGGTTGGAGGTGGTGATCTTTGCGTGGGCTTTGGAGTGTTTGTTTTTAAGCACCAGTAAGAAACATCACCAGCCTTTTATCTGCACACCAATAAAGCAGAGAATACAGCTCTGAGCAGCCATCTGCCAGGACTCGTTTTAAGAAGCAGTCAAGGGAGTTGACAAGGCCCCATTTTCCAGGTCTTCTGATCTGGTCCTCAATGCAATCTGTTGCCAGGACCTTGAACTTCACAGCCACAGCATGCAAATACAGTTTAATAACAGAGTCTTACAGAAAACAGTGGCTGGCCTGAAATCGTGCATCTGTATGCAGATGAGCAAAAAGGGCTCAAGCCAGGGTTTAAGATTTATCACATCATATAAATGCACAATACGTGCACTTCAGGAGAGATCCTGAATTCTCCTATAAATATGCTCATTTAAAAAAAAAAAAGTTAAATTCAGTAGCTTCCTCAAATTAAAATTCTGCCTAAGTTCAGTGAAAGACAACGGTAACACAGAGAACTCAGGCTCAGAGGAAATGAGTCCAGCAGAAAGATAAGCCTCCCTTCACCAGGAAGAATTGATTTATGATACAAAAGCCAAGATAAGAGCAATACTGCATTTACAGATTTGGACCTGTTCTATCATAATTTCTGCATGCAGGTCGGGCTACTGGAATGCTAAACCAACGGGGCTGGTGTTATCACAAAGGGCTTGTAAAAGGAAGAAAACAGGAGCAGCATCAACCTCCAAATAAGATACTAAAGCATACGAGAGCCAGGAAGTCACGTGGCAAGCCTGTTAAACCTTTAAATGTGCAGGAGACAAGACAGCCAACTCAAATTTCCTTTGACAAGCATGCGGATGCTTTCTGCTGAGCTCTGTTTCAGTTATTTCAGACCACGCACTCTTTATTTATCCAAAACAGAGTCACATCAAAGCTATCAGCTTTGAAATGATTGTGCTTAAGATAGTGGTGCCTTCCCTTTCTTTAATAAGGCTTTTTTTAGATTACTAATTGTTTCACTGGAAACAAAGTCTGTTTCCTAGTCTGTTTTAAGACCATCTCTATGACTTCTCAGCAACTTTCGTCCAGATCACAGTTTGGCAAGAAAATGTACAGAAGACAGTAAACATATCAAAAGACTGCAGCACATTTCAGACTGGATTCTCAGAAAGAAGTTGTACAGATACCCCAGATAACAAAATCCTTACACCTATTCTTCATAACTGAACACAAACAACCTGAGAGAGACCTTAGCAAACGTACAGACAGATTACCTTGATGATGTTAAAACACAGAGCTCTTACTCTGTGCAAAAGGCAGATCAGAACATGCAATAAAAACCTGGAGCTGTGTACCAATAATTTAAGGGCATCGTATCCGTCGGAACGTCACTGGAGAATCTGAAGGAATTCCAGATCCCTGACTTATAAAATCAGCTGTTTGCCAGCCAGTCAGAAGATGAATTTGTGCAGTTCAACTGCAGCTTCCTATGTAGCATACACTGACTTACCAGCTTCAGATAATAACAAACCCCAAACACCCCAGGATCTGATCCTGTGCTCCTCTTAGTGCTTCGTGCCTGCAGCTACCACAACAGGTCAGGAAGCCAAGCAGGCACAGGATGAAGGCCTCCGCTCTGGAGAAAAGCAGACAAGCAAAGCACGTGTGATAACAAGGGAACTTCAGCAGCACATTTCACCTTTCAGAAGGAAAACAGACACACCTTGATCCATTTGCAATCAAATGCCCTTTCGTTCCATATCTGTAAAGCAAAAGGTAAAAAGCCATGTTGAGAAGTGAGGATGTGCCGACATGTCAAATCGCATACACAGAAACAAATCTTCCACAGCCATTACTGAACTCTAAGGCTTTGGTTGGCCAAAGGAAATCGCTCCGATTGGTTCTGGCAGCCCTCCAGGGAAAAAGTCTGTATGAAAATTCAAGGCAGGTGCTTATTTCTCTCAGCCTTCGGCCCGCAGCCTCACTGAAAAGAACAGTCGTGCTGGGAGAGCTCTCTACAACCCTTAGCCCTGTTACACATTATATGCCATGAGCAATAGCATGTAACAGGCTCTTCAGCTTGGGAGATGATGCCTTTTTCCACGGTTTCTCATCAAGCCGTGGCCATACAGAATGTCAGTAACAACAGAAACAAGATATTACTGAAATACTTCACATGCAGAACTTATATTCTACTGTAAAAGCACAGCAGGGCAAAAACTCGTGTCGGACACACACCTCCCAGCCCACCCCCTCCAAGGTCCATTTCTCAAGCTTCAGTGCCTTACCAGAGTGCACTGACTGAAACAGTCAGCAGCAGGAAGGACAACGCTCCAGAAGAGATGGACACTGCATGTACCTTCCCACACTGCAACACAAAGGGCAGACTTTCTCAGTGGGATGGGAACCACAGCTTGAGAAGCTTCACTGAGGACAGTGAAAATTCAGAAGTGCAGCTTCATGATAAATCATTTATATTCAGCACAGTGAGCAGGTCTAAGCACTAAGGCCATTTGACTCGAGAAGATTATTGGCAAGTCCCTGCCTAGGATGTTATGCTATTGCAGAAAGGCAAAAGCTGGCTGAGAGAAGCACCAAAGCAAGCATAGCAAGTCCTAGAGCTTCCCTGCCTTGTCTGGTGCCACATGAAAACATCGGTCCCTTAAAGTAATGAAGGGTCAGACGTGTTTGTTAGAACAAAGAGCATATAAACCCTAAGGCTTGGATTTACCACTCAGCTCAATTCGGAGGCTCCTCTCTTCAGCTTCTCTCATCAGCCACTGCTCACAGCCTCAGAAGTCACTCTCACCATTTCCATAGGCACATGGCAGGTCTCGGGGCCATCTGGGAAGGAAACAGACATTAAAAAGACATTATAATGTTCTCTTTGCCCACTTTGCATTGTTCACTATATTAACTTAGCATAAATGTTTGAGGATTTGTCCCTTTTTTTTTTTATTGGGGGGGGGGGGGGCGCTTGGAGGGGGGAGAAGCAGTTTGTTTTTTGCTTTATTAAAAAGGAACAATGCTTTCTTTTGTGCATCAGAACGCAATCAGCTATTGGGCGTTTTCTATTCCTAGATGCGATAATGCTAAAACCTGCATTTATGATCACCTTCGTCTCAGCAACCACTGGGAAATTCACTGCGTTAGGATCATAAGGGAAAGAAAATCACCGTTGAAAGCACAATTAGCAGATAATGTCCACGTGGTGACGTATGGGGTGAGAGAGCGAGGGGGGGAAAAAGCAGCACAAATTGAAATGCAGTTCCTTCTTCACAGACTTTGCGCACAGTGATCATAGTCCAGTGAAATGCAGCAGCTCATCAAACTAAAGTAACACAACTCCTTCTGGTCTTCGCACTCTGTAAAGAACTTCCCCCCGACTTCCAACCTCAATCAGCCCTCCCTCAACTCAAAGCCATTTCCCCTTGTCCTGCTGTTATCTACCCTTTCAGAGTTGACTCCCCTCCTGTTTGCAGGCTCCCTTTAGGTCCTGAAAGGCTGCAATGAGGTCACCGTGCAGCCTTCTTTGCTCCAGGCTGAACAAGCCCAGCACCCTCAGCCTGTCTTCGTAGGGGAGCTGCTCCAGCCCCCTGATCATCTTTGTGGCTCTCCTCCAGACCCTCTCCAGCAGCTCTTTCTTGTGCTGGGGGCTCCAGACCTGGAGGCAGTGCTGCAGATGGGGACTCATGAGAGCAGAGTAGAGGGGGACAATCACTTCCCTGACCCTGCTGCCACCCCTCTGCTGATGGAGCCCAGGATCCCATTTGCTTTCCCAGCTTGTAAGAGCACACTGCTGGCTCATGTTAAGCTTTTCTTCCATCAAGACCCCCAGGTCCTTCTTGCCGGGCTGATCCCAACGACTGCTCCTGCCAGGCTGTTCCCTCCTCTAAATTGTGGCCCCGTGCACCACATCCAGGTGGTTTTTAAACACATCCAGGGATGGTGACTCAACCACCTCCCTGGGCAGCCCGTTCCAGTGCTTAACAACCCTTTGCATAGAAGTTTGTCCAACCTCAACTTACCCCACAGATGTGACAATGGCCTCTGGCTTCTGGGGTGCTTCTCAAAGGAAACCAGCGCACAGTGTCAGGAGTGGAGGAGGAAGAAGCAGCCGAGCCTGCCGCTGACGCTGCCATTCTGCGTCCCTCCCCAGGACTCCCACACCTTCCTCTTCCCAGCCCCGCTCGGCTCCTAGCAGGCTGCAGACACCGCTGAGGTACTCACGCTCCACGGCCGTCATCTTCCCCTGCTGCCGGACCGCTCTCTGCAGGGCTGCGCCGAGTTCCTGCCGCTCCTGTGCTGACGGATGGAGGAGTTTCGTGCCGGCACCCACAGCACGCGGTCCCCGGGCTGCCGGCGGCACGGCAGGACGCTCCGCTCTCTCCCATCGCCCCTCAGCTCCCGCATCCTCCTATTATCCGCCTAAGGATACGAAGACCCTGCAGAGCGGTCCGCACAGGCTGATCGACGGCCGACGCCAACGGCACGAGGCTCAACACCGCCACTCGCCGGTCCCGCACTTCGCTCACAACAACCCCAGGCATCGCTGCAGGCTGGGGGCAGAGCGGCAGGAACGCCGCGCGGAGCAAAACGAGCCGGAGGCGCGGGCCCCGGAAGCGGAGCGGGCAGCCAGGCCGGGGCCATCCGAGACGCGCGGTGATGACGCAACGACGGAAAGCACCCCGCGCGGAGCGCCCGCCTCGTCCCGCGGACCGACCAATGGCTGCGCGGCGAAGGCGGGGCCGAGCGGCGGGCTCTCCGCCGATGGCGGGCGCGGGGCTCCGCGCGGGGAAAGCGGCGCTTCGCCGCCCCGCGTCCCCGCCGCCGCCCGCCCCATGCCTCGGGGCCCCGTCCGTCCCCCGTAAGAACCGAGCCGTCCTCTGGAGTCGTCGTTGCGGCAGGGCGCCGCCGAGCCGTGAGAACTGGCCGCTGACCGCGAGCGGCGGGATTCGCCCGGTGTCCGAGAGCGGCTTCTGGCTGAGCCGGGCAGCCCCGAAAGTGAGGGAGCGACCCCGCGGATCGAGACGCGATCGAGCCCGGCACGCAGTCAGGCGGACGCCTTCAGTTCTCGCTCGGCTCGAACGGTCGTCAGCGCTGTGCTGAGCTGCTGCCCCGCAGGTGGAGGACCCGACTGCCATTTTCCCGAGAAGACAGCCGGCGGCGCTGGCGCTGACCAATGAGAGGGAGGCCGGGGGCGGGTGGGCGCAGGCGCTGACCAATGAGAGAGGGGCCGGAGGCGGGTCGGCGCGGGCGGTGACCAATGAGAGGGAGGCCGGGCCGGGCCGGGCCGATGGCAGCTGGCGCAGCTGGCGCGCCGCCTTTCCCCGCGGCTGAAGCGGCCGCTTCTGAAGGCGGGGCGCCCGCGTGCGCTGCGGCAGCCCGAGGTGGAGTCGGAGGGGCCCGGCCGGTACAGCCCGGGCCGGCAGGCCGCAGCGCGGCTGGGCGAGGCTCCGAGCTGGCGGGCCTCTGCCCGGAGGGACCGCATCCAGCACGGCAGGCGTCGGCTGGTTAGCGTGCGAGGCCGGGACAGCTCGCAGGCTGCGGCTCCGGGGCGGGCACAGCAAGTCGCAGCGCCGGTGACATCAGCCGGGCTGCTGGAGCCTGAGTGCTGTCGCGCTGCGTTTCCATGCCGACGGCGGCCCCCCCCGAGGAGCCGAGGGCAGCTTTCTGCCGTGTTTGTTACCCGATGAAGCCCGTTGCGGGGGGGCTGGGCAGACAGCCTTGCCACAGAGGCCCGTGCTGCAGCGGGATTGACAGCACGACTCCTTTTGTTTCTCCTTGAGCCCTGGCCAGGCTTCGGGGAGAAAACCGAGAGGAGAAAGAGGGCACCGGCTGTTCCCCCGGACTGCTCCGTCGATTGGTTTATTCCGTGCTAGAAAGGCTGGAGCTGCTTGCAGCGGCTCTGGACGCCTCACCCGTGGGATGGATGCATTGCTGATGGATGCAACTTCCCTGTGGTTGGGAGAGGTTCTCCAGATCCTCATTGCAAACGGGCTCCCCAGTGGCTGCGGCTCTGGGTGATGGTTAAATACTGGGGCAATTGGTGATGTACCTTCCTTCATCGCTGCGCTCACGTGGCAAGGAGCAGGCCCACTGCCTTGCTTACTGCCTTTACTGCTAGCTTCTCCTTTGGCTACAGACGCTGCCACTATTATTGTTTCTACTATTTTGTCGTAGGCAGTAAAATAAGCCTATCCCTAAGATGTTGGTGTCTTTGTTCTCCCTGTTGAGCCCATCAAGTGGCACAACAGCATCAGCACATGATGGGCACGTAACTTGGACATCAGCAACGTGACTTGAAAGGCCAGCATTGGGAACGTCTCCTTTGGAGAGAGACTGGGAGGTTTGGGCTCGTTGAGCCCGGAGAACAGAAGGCTCTGGGGAGACCACGTGGCTGACTTTCAGCACACGGGGCCTCACAGATCACCCAGTTCCAACCCCCTGCTGCGGCCAACAGCGAGATCAGGCTCCCGGTCAGGTTACCCAGGGTGCCATCCAGCCTGAACTTGAGCACCCCTCAGGACGGGGTACGCACAGCGTCTCTGGGCAGCCTGTGCCAGCAGCTCACCAGCTTCTAAGTGAAAGACTTCCCCTGGACGGGTTTATTTTTCTGATGTGTGTGGGTGAGGTTTCTTTGCTCTGAAGTGCCTACTACTTGCAGAACTTGGTAGAAAAGCATTTCTGGAACTTGGAAACCCTGCTTGAATGGCAACAGAGCATCTCCAAAGGCACCAGGTGTGCCTGCGTATGCCGGAGGATGACGGGAATCCTTCTGCAGCCTCTCTTGCCAGCGTCTGTTGCCTCCACGGCACCTGCTGGCATCTCGTCTGCCTGCAGATACCGCAATGTAACACTCAGTCTATGGGAGAGTCGGCACTGAGCAACATTTGTGTGGGCTCCAGCAGAAAGAGTGCTGTGTGATGCATGGCAGGCATGGTGCAGGGCTGACCGCCTCTCGCGCTCACCACCCAGCCTCTGTTGAGCTGAATTCAGCCTGTGTGACACGTGGCAGGTTCTTGTGCCATTTGCTGAGTAAACCACAGCGACTGTCGATAATGATATTTCAAGCTCGTGAGGTGTGTGTGCCTGAGAACGCACAGGGTTTTGTTTATTTAGCAGACGTGAAACAACTTCTCTTACTAAACCATTAAAGTTAGGCTTGCGTTCTTTCGTAAAACAATTTAGTAAGTTAACTGGAACTCCTCCTGGAAGAGGAGCTCCCCTCTCCGTGCCGGTGACCTAACAGAGCTCCAGGTGACACAGGCTGATGTCACAATGCCTAACAGAGCTCCAGGTGACACGGGCTGATGTCACAATGCCATTAGCTGCCTCACAAGCAGATCTTCCCCGGGGCAGCGGCAGGGCCGGCACTTCCCTGTGGGTCCTGGGTGCTGCTGCAGCACTGCTCAGGGGCTCTGTCCTTCTGCGACCAGGAGTCGGCTCCAGCGCAGCCAGGCTGCACTGGGTGACCCTCACTGACACGTGGAGGAGCAGGGGCGCTTTGCAGAGAATTGTTGGTTGGTTGAGGAGCCTTGTTGGTGGAGGCCATCCTTAGTTCTGAGCTGAGGCTGTCGGCAAGCCACATGGAAGGCTGCTGGACTGCGAGCATCAGCTCAGAGCTGGCCTCCGCGTTCCCAACGCTGCTGGAACTCTCTGCCGAAGGTAAGGCTTTCCAGACCCCCTTCCCAAGGCATCGCACGGGGCTGTCAGCTGTTAGTCCAAAGCCGCAGCTCCTGCCCTCTGCGCTTGGCTGGACGTGGCTGGGGGCCGCTGCAAGAGCCCCGCCAAAGGGTCCCGCTGGGCTCTGGGGACCACGTGGCAGCCAGCTCCCGAGAGTAGAGCTGCCCATAGCCCCTGGGTTCTGTGATAGGGCAGTCCAAGGCCAGGTTTCCCTGGGAGAGGGTGTTTCTGTAGATTCCAGCTCTGGGAAGAAAGACATCCTGTATCCCAGAGGCTTCCTATGTCCCCATTTCCCCTTGGGGCTCTGAATAAGGCTGAAATCGGAGCAAAGCCCAGCTCCTTAGCCATGGTGGTGTTTTTCTGCGTGTGCCTGTATCGATCGCTGTCTGTGTGAGGAGCTTGCCAAGAGGTTGTGAAGAGGCTGGCCTGGAGCCTGACTTGTCTTTTCTTTCCTTTGCAGAGATTGTGGCAGTCTGGGACGCTGTGTCTCAGTACATCCTGGAACAGATGAAGCTGGACAAGGTGGGCTGGTGTCCTGGTGGCCCTCGCCCTGGAGAGGGGTTCAGTCCTGCCGAGAGCCTGGGCTCCGCAGAGCAATCCCTCCCTGAGCACCACAGCAGCACACTGAGCCCAAGCCGGGTGCTCAGAGCGGCTTGTTGGCCAACTGGGAGGGAAACCCATGGCCAGAGCTGCCCTGATCAAGCATTTGGCACACACAGGGGCTTCGCTCTGCCCTGCGGTCAGAATGGGGAGAGCAAAGGGAGAAATGGGTGGGGGGTTTTTCTGGCTGTGCCAGGGATAATCCGTGGCAATCAGTCCCAGGCTTCAGCCCTGTGCTGTCAATGCCTGGGCTCTTCTTTAGCCAAGGGATGCTGGGAAATACTGTGCGGAGGTGACATATATAGCAGGGACGTATATATATATATATATATATATATATATATATATATAGACGTATAGCAGGGACCACAGATGTTTTCCAAAGCTTTCCAGAGACCCATCTCGCTCCCCTGTCCGTCAGGAGTGGGGAGAGCAGTGACCCCATGCTCCTGATGTTCGTGGCTTTTGCCGCCCCTAAAGTACACGCTCATCAGCCATTATGTTTTTTCCCTGTGCAGGGAGTCCTGGTTCCGGGACTCGGGATCTTTGCTGGGGTCCGAGAGCAATTCCACAGCAAAGAAGAGGTGCTTTCAGTCCGAAGACCCGTCTTCGAACTGAACATCAGGGTGCTGTGGCTGCCGGACCTCCAGTCTCCCAGCGACATCATCCCTGGTAAGAAGGCAGCAGCCACCTTCCCCTTCCCACCCCACGTCCGGGCCATCTGTGTTCTCCCTGCTCTTTGGAAATGGCAGCGAGCAGCAGAGAATCATCTGCAAAGCTCGGGGTGCAGTGCGAGTTCCTCCCAAAGGAACCGCAGCCCAAGAGCTGTTTCTCCAAAGGACCTTTTCTGTGGATTTGGTTATGAATGCTGCATGGGCTGGCTGTGGCAGTGAGAATGTGCCTTCTCCTTGCAGACAGCATCAAGATTGAGCCGCTCAACTACCGGCAGCTCTCGCGAGCCTCCGGTGTCCCGCTGCACTTGGTGCCGCGCTGCGTGCGGGAGAGCGTCCTCTTCTACTGTCACCTCCTGAGGAACAAGACGCCCGTCCCGTTTGTGTTCAAGAACCTCGGCGTTATGACCTGCCAGGACAACTTCCTCTGCATGAGGTTCTTCTGCAGCTGCGTTGAAACGCTGGAGAGCAATGCCCCCATCCTCGCACTGATCCACACTGTAAGTTGAGGAGGTTGTGAGGTGCACCATCGGATCACCGCTGGCCAGCCTGGACGTGGCAGGCCAGTCAAATGCCTTTCCCCACGGTTGCCCGCACGGCTTTCTCCAGGGGCAAAGAGATTTCCTGGATCTCTGCCCCTGCCTGGCAGTGCTCTTGCACAGCCTCACTATTTGGCCATCCTGCTCCTTCAGA